AGACCCTTCCCCAGCTCCGTTGCCCTTCTCTGGACACGCTCCAGCACCCCAATGTCCTTCTTGCAATGCTAGACCCCATGCATCACTCCTGACCCAGCCCTGGCTCACCCTCAAGTGCACGTTTACATCCCCAAATGGCTTCAGACAGCAGGCGCAGGGGCACGAGGCCATGGTGGAGAACCCCCCGGCACCCCTGCCAGCAGGAGCCCGCTCCCCTCAGCCCTTCAGCTCCTGACCAGACGTTTCCCACTCAACCCCTTGAGCACCAAGCAAGGCAAATGCCTTATTTTTGCTGCAGAATCCAAACACTTTGGAAGCGATGGCTGGGAAAGCAGGGGATGGGTGACCTATTCAGCTGGACTGGGAAGCTCTGCACTGAAATGTCCTTTTCCCAGAGCACGTGGGCTTGAGTTGACTCCAAACTCACTGTACGTGCACTAGACGTGAGCCGGAGAAGCTGACTTAGCAGGGTTGCGTTAATTACCCCCTGCACGACTCCTCCCAAGCCTTTTGAGATGTTGCACGAAGCTGCTGCGAAATGGGCCATCTGCTGCTACACAGCTCCACAAACTCATTTTCTTAATAGCGCGACATATTTCTTACGTTCCACTCAAAGCCGGTGACAGCGATTCCCCCGGCAGCACCGGTCCCGGCCAGCCCGATGAAAAGCCCCGAGCCTTCGCTGCTGGCGAAAAGAGAGGCGCCGATCTGCGGAAGAGCAGAGGAGGTGCTGCGGGGGCTCGCAGGCAGGGGGCCCCACCCGCAGCCACCCCTTTTTTTCGGCAGTCGCGCCAGCTGGACCAGCTTTGGTGCTTCCCCAGCTGCGACAGCCCCGAGGGGATAACTCAGTAAGAGGAGGAGGCCAAAATAATGTCTGAACAGGAGCGGCAGAGCACAGACCTCCCAGCCACTTCTAAAAGCAAAGCGTGGCCAAAGATACACCACGTGTGATGAGGGACATGTACGTATTTTGCAAGAAAATCCCCTAGCAGACTCCAATCCAGGTAGCCGTGAGCCCCAGCGACCAGCGCTCCCGCACACTCAGCTCATCTGGGCATCCCTGGTGCGTTTGGGATGGATTTTCTTGTCTTGAGGAGGATGAGGAGCCACACGTTGCTGTGTATGCCACATACCCTGCCTGGAGGTGGCCCTGCACAAGCAGCCAGTGCCAGACACAGGAAGGACCTACAACCAGTTTGTCAAGATCATGCCGAAATAAGAGGAGGGAAAAAAGAAACTCGGGACACCCATGGCTTGTCAGAGCCACCATGGGCACGCAGGGCCGGTGGGGGTAGATGCTTGACTCCAACGACCCCTCCCCAAGTTTAGGGCAGCCTACGAGGAGACCCACCAAAAGAAAATGAGCTGGGTGGGCTCCAGCACCCTTCGTGCAACGAGAAGGGAAGCGCAGGTGTACAGGGTGGAGGAAAGCGTGGGCAGGCGGTGGAGAAAGCAGGGGCGCAGAAGACGGAATTGGGTGGGAGGGGGAATGGTGCTGGATGTCCCTGCTGCCCAGGGTGTCACAAGAGGGACAAAGGTCTCTTACTTACTGGCCACCATGCCATGTCTCTGCCAGCAAGGAAATAGCCACTGATGGTGTTCCTGTTCACCCTGCATGAAGACTGGGAGGAGAAAAGATCAGCACGGAGCACCCTTCCCTACAAACCCAGGCAAGACACCAAGAAACCCAAGAACCAAGTCTCCCAGACAAGAAGCCAAGAGACAGGAGACTCTGGATAATTAATGGGAGCTCTGCAACTCAAGTTTAATTACACGAAACGGTGGCTGCACCCCGAGTACCTGGAGCCATGAATAGCAAAGGAGACACCCTGAGAGGGGGAAGCACGGAGGATGCGCCCGTCCTACCTCCATCCCGCACAGACAGGTTGGCTAATAGGGCTCAGCTTTGGCTACAAGGGCTACGAGTTTTCTGCAAGGCAGAATAAATGGCTTTGGAGAGCCTTTGTCTGGAACTGCTGGTAGGTGAGGGCTTTTTCTCTTAAGCAGGGCATTTGTCTCAACACCCTTTAATAGACACACAGGAGATCTGCTTACGCCCAGCAGACCGGAGGCCAGGGGAGAGGTTTGTGCCGTGGTTAATTCCACCTCGCTCTCGGGCTATGGAAGTCTTTCCACAGGGGGTGAGAGGGGTGGAGCGTTTGTACAGCAGACCAGAGCAAATGCAGCACGACACACAAAATATGTAACAAGTGTGAACTACAACAGGAAAATAATAGAGACTTTCAAAATATTCCATGCAGAAAAGCCAGCTCTGGAAAAAAAAAAAAAAAGACTATTCAAAAAGGAAAGCAGAAAGTGAACAAGAGAAAACACTCTTACCCATATTCCCACCGCAACGTTTAAGGAAAAATAAACCACAACGACGACAAGATCAGCAACACTGAACTGCTGTGCGGAGGTAAAGGACCCAGCAGTGGAATTGCCCTCCATCATTCCTCTGCCTCCTTCTTCATCCTCGGCAAAAGCCTCACGCAGTCAGTCACGGAATCAGTAACTCGTTAGCGGTTCGAGGGCATTGATCATTAAACAAGCTGGCAGCAGGAGCGGCGCTTCCCAAGGCGCTGGGGTGGGCAGCCTGGCTGTCCGCTGCCTGCCCCCCTTTCAGTTTTCCCCCCGCGCTTCCGGAGGGAAGCCCGGTCCGGGCGAGCACAGCTTGATTTTGGCATCTCACAAACAAGCACCTACTTAATCCCCATTTCCTTGGGGTTTTCTGCTTCTCCTGCATTGATCTTGAAGAAGCTGCCAGCTCTGGTCCAAGCTGCTCCTGCAATGAATGCATTTCTGTGACACAGACTCTCAGGACACGGGCTCCCAGCAACCTCTTGCAGAGGTGCCTTAAATCTAGGTATTGCTGGACAAGAAACCACCAAGGCTTTTATCTTCTATGAACTGTAAACCAAACCCCAATATTTTTCTTGCAGATACTAAGTCTGGAAAGAATTTGCACGATCTCCTGACTAGTTAATAAAGCAGGGTTTTTAGAAGTGTTCTTTGCATTTGAAGGATCCCAGAGAAATATCTCTAAGAATAGCTGGCATTTCTGGTGATCTGGTATTTTTGCTTCTGGGAAAAGCACGCAGAGATTAGGTAGCTCTGCAGTTATATGCTATAACAAAAGGGGTACGAAAAACGTCCGAGTGAAGTCACACACGCTTCACTCCCTTTCGACCACTCCGACGGAATGAAAAGCCAAAGGACTAGCAATCCAGTCTTACAACTGCGACTGTTCCCAAATTCTGGAGTCCTAATCAATACAACAAGCGCACTGCACGGAAGTAGGCAAAGTCAGGGGTTTTCTACATGCTAAAGCAATGATCAAGCACAGGAGTTACGCGAGCGTCCGAGGCAGAGCCTCACCACGCCAGCAAGGGCCGAGCAGCAGAAACGCTCACAGAAGAGATGAAGCTATTCCTCCAAAGGCCAACAAGAAACAAGCAGCAGGAAATAACCTTTGAATTTAATGGCTTTGGGTATTTAATAATCATACTGTTTTCTGCACTGAATGCTTCCCTGGCTCATTTTCAAGTGGCAGCACACTTTCCAACCATGTATCACAAGGTTTCACTAATAAAATAAACGCACTGCAATAATACGCCCGTCACCGAGACAGGTCAGAGTATTTCTCCTCTCTTTGAAACAGCCGCTGAGGCACCCAAGCTCAAGTGGAGTTTAACCCACATTAACACATTCGAAGTACATGTAAGTGTTAATACGTCAGCTCGGTGTATCTATTAACATCGCTGAATTGTTTAATAACCTACTGTCATTGAAGTACAACCAGGTACAGCCTCACATTTGGTCGTTTCATAGAGACAGAACGTACCTCTCCGGACAGGACTGCAAAAATCAAACAGAATCATCTTACGCAAAATAAGGTCGCAGAATCAAGAACAGCATTATCTGAACAGAAATGTGCAGTTGCTTAAATAAAATCGCCATCTCACTTGCCGAATGTACCAACGAGATCAAGTACCGTAGATCTTTTAGCAATATCTAGGTCTTCTAGCCACAGCCCAGGCCTCCAGCGTTCCCAGTGCTGTGCCAAGACAGGCAAGGGAAGGAAAAAACCAAAATGTTTTTTATCCTTAAAAGCAAATCAACCTTCCAAAGCCCTTGGAAGTTTGTCTCAAGCAAAGAGAAATGGTGTCAACACTTTGGTGTTCACTTCTGGCTTTGGACATGCCAGAAGTTTTATACTCATTTGTGGGACATTCTGATTGAGAGAGATCAGACCAAACCACACGTAAATGCTCATTAATTCCACTGCCGTTTTCTCTGCAACAGGTCAGAGACTTCAAGTCTCTGAGACTGGAAGCTCGCAGCATGGCAGCTCGCCGGCCGCTCCACGCACGTGTACCTAAGGATGGTTGGGAAAACCGACCTGCACAAGATAAGCTCTGCACTACGGCCGTATTTTTTAGCTCATCCATGCATTCAGGCCAGGCTACAAAGCTCTGAAAAAGAGTTTACCTGTGTTGAGCTGATTGGGATTTTACCAGCCGGGAACTCTGCCCCCACAATATTCCCAAGCCCCTGTTGTTCCTTGACACCCAGCCATAGATTTCACTCCCTCCCACACTCCCTGAAGCAAAGCAGCACGCTGGAAGCGTACTGTAACCACCAAATTACAACTGATCAAAACACATTTGTGATAGCACCTGCAAGCAGATAGCGAAAGGTTGTATTTGGCCTTTTACAAGACTGCTCAGCAGAACACAGGCTGAAAAATTACAATGAGTGTCCGTATTAGGGAAAAGCAGCCTCTCCTCCTCGCCTGCAGGTGTTTCGCTATAACAACAAGCAAAACGTGTGTTATTCTCACTGCCAAGAAGCCCAAATCCTGTTCATATTCCAAAGCAACCCATTAGCATAAAAGAATCAATTCACCTCTTGATTTCTTTCAGTAACGTAATACCTGCAAATCATTTTTAAGGGGACACACTTTAGAAGACAAGTGACTAGGTACATGAACATTTTTAGAAAGCTCACACAAAACAAGTCTTTATTCTTTGTCGCAGAAAATAAATACAGGTGCATATTTCATATGCTTTTCTATAAAAGCATTCCTACAAAATCACTTAACTGCATACAACAGTACAACCTTTTTGGCTTTCAAAATGCAAATATTATACAGTCACTTCATTTTATTCTCTCTTAAAGCACTTGTAGCAAGCAGCTTTGGAAAAGGAATGCTTAATTTAGAAGCCAAATTCTTGCCTCAAGTGTTTTGTGGGTTTTTTTCCATCATGTATATAGTGCAACTAACCTAAAAGCAACTAGAACAGTTTTTTGTAAAATGTTTATTCCCCACCCAACCCCCCCCAAACAAAAAAAAAAACCTGCAAAGAAAAAAATAGCTCTTAAAAACTGTTCTACCTTGATACTTAACCCAAGAGAAAACAAAAAGTGGCTCAATAGAAATATTAAGGTAAGCATGATGCTTCACAGCTCATTATCTGTTCGCTTCCAGTTTGGCCCGGGGTGTTTCTTTATAAGAAAAAAGCATTAATCATCCAGTCCTATATTTCTGAAAAGGTACGACATGGACTCCCCGTTATGGATCCTGCGAATGGCTTCTGAAAGGATCATGCTGATATCCACAGTCTTGATTTTAGGGCACTGGAGTTTTTGTATTTCATGTGGAATTGTGTTTGTAACAACCACCTACAGAAACAAAAAAATGCTCAGAAGGCCGTAGCTCCGTTATGTCTTCCACCTCCCGTATTAGAACTGCAAAAGGGAACGGCCACGTATCCATGGATACTAATGGCACTGTCCTTCCTCCCTTTCATTCTGCCACACAGGTCCAAAGGAAGGTACAAAAACATCCCCCACATTGAAGGGAAACGTCTCCTAATACTGGCAGTCCCTCAGCTCACCGCTTCCCTAGTTTCCCATTGCTACAGTTTAAGGATGCGTAGATGCTAACATTCTAGCATACAGTACCACGGTAAGAAAGCCTGAACCCAGGAACTTCCCAGCTAAATTCTTAATGCCAGTATACTTTAAGAATCAAATCAGGAGAAAATTGCTCGCTTAAAAAACCCAAACCCATTTGACTGGAAATTCAGAATCCATGCTTACTTCATCGATTGCAGATTCCTCTATCAGCCTGGGAGCGTCTGAAGATAGCAGGCCATGGGTGGCCATTACAAAGATCTTGTAAGCCCCCCTTTCCTTGAGGGTCTCGGCTGCAGCAAGAAAGCTGTCAACGTCATCTATAATGTCATCCTGTCAAAAGGAGATCAAGTCAGCGAAGATTCACCGTGTCCTCAGACAGATCAACACAGCACGCCCAGACTGACGTGACATCTTTTTCAAGTGTAACAGTTCACAGCCAACGCAAAATGGACATTTTTATTGACGCCATTCTTCAGACACCAGAGCTCGATGCTCAGTGCGAAAGAGCGGTAGAGCCAAGTGTCCAAAACTACTGCAACATCAAGGGGCAGAGGGACTGCTCCGTGAGGGAAGAGCCAAGACAACTGACATTCATTCAAAAACCAAACTAACAGAAAATTGACCTTTTCCATTAAAAGCCCAGAGATTACGCTCAGTTTAGTGTGGGCTTGGTAACATTAGGTTAATGGTTGGACTGGACAATCTTAAAGGTCTTTTCCAACCTAAACGATTCTATGATTCTGTATCTACTTCACTGGTATTTCTAAACTCACAGAATAGAAACATGGTAATCTTCCCCTCATCTGCTGTATAAGCACCACCTGAAACGCCTCACTTTCACAGGCAAGCACTTAAACAGAAATTTATCTGGCCTACTCATAGAAACAAGGTCCAAATGCTGCTTTTCAGCATGGATCACTTCATAGTTCACACAGTCAGCTTCAGTAAGCGTGCAGAATACTGCCTCATGGTATAAAAAGTGCAGTATCGAAAGCCCACCATCAACCAAAGCTTAGTTGCTGACGCAGCAGAAAATCTACTTGATTTCTGCAACTTTAACGTATTTAACAATTTATCAAATGCTACGGCATCTTACTTACCACGATGATAGCTATTCTGCCTCCTACATCTCCAACAACTGTGATGGGAGGTTTTTCCTTGGGAATCAGCACTGATTAATGGCAAATTTTTTTAGAGGGGTAGAAAGGAGAAAGAAAGAGAAAGTTTACACAATTTACTTCCAAGTGCAGAAACGTCTGCTTTGCATGGGTCACCACTGCTACAGAGAGAAGTGAAGCGACAACTATTTCTACCATCACAGCATTACCGGGAAAAAACAACAGGATTTTCATACATAAATTATTTTTTTTTAAGCTTAGCCAAAGCATTAACTACCTTCGTTTACACCCAAATTCTTAACCAATTCAATTAATCCTTAATTTTAGTACAGAGAATAGAGTGGCTTGCAGGCACAACCATCTTGATCACCCTACTGAGATCCAAGCTAGGTTTCTGCAACAAAGTTTTGCTGGTGCAGCTATAGATCACATCCACGTTCAGCCAGGTTACTCTGTCAAGGCCCATGACGTAGAGCTACACTCAAACCCAGCGTCAGCTCAGCTTATCAGCTCTGTCCCCCAGAAAAATTCCAACAGAAAAAGTAAATGGCAAAGAAGTGGGGCCTCTCTGTCAGGGGCTCTTCTGACTACCTGTAATGACAGAGCCCCTTCTACACAGGGGGCAGACCTCACGGCCTGGCACTAAAACCAAGGACAAAGAGCATCAAAAAGGAATCTTTCCCCCCCCCTACTGTTTTTTGTAAGAACGACTGCTTTTTGATGGTCCATCACTGCCAGCCCCATCCCCCAAAACCACAAAAAACAACAGGGGAACACTTTCACACACAAACTTACTTACTGGGTATCTCCAAACTGGGATGAATAGCAGCTACATTTTTGGCTGTAGGTGGTGAGTGTCGACCATCCACCATGTCAGACTCAGCATCTTGAGCTTCCCCATGAATCACGGCAATTCCCAACCGTAAGCGCTCAGCAAATGACTGTGCCCTGTAGGAAAAGGGTTAAAAAAAACCCAGAAATACATTAAATTTAAAATAATTCACATACATCCAATCCTAATCTATTTCCATTTTATTCCTAACGTTTCAGAGTTAAAATGGAATAATGATCCTAAGATTTTAGGAAAACACATAGGAGAAACCACTTGCCCCTTAGTGTCTTGTTTTCACCAGGCTTGTGAGCGTCAGAATAACCTTGAAAGTACCCATACTGGCCTTGAAGCAGCAGGATAAATGCTCCAAGTCACATAATTCTGATAACTCCCTTCTGTTTTGCCCAGCAGTCAAAAACACACTTCCTAGCCTTCAGCGTTCTTGAGATCCCATGCTTTAGCGAGTCTCATCCAACAGTAATCGAGAATAGCCTAGATATCCGAACTGTCTACATTTAATAGGAAAAAAATATCCACATGAAAGCAGAAAACAAGTGTTCACCTATCCATTTTTAGCAAGATGTGCACTAAATAAAGACCATATCCCTGACCTTCTGACACATAACCTTAGATATCCTACAGGAAAGAGAATCCGGACGGTCATTTTGCCTGACAAACCACTCTTCAAAGTTAAACAGCCTGAATTTTTACAAGATTACATGAAGTTCCTTCACCACGCAGTATTTCTTCAACTAAAATGAGAAATTTATCTAAAGAAGTATAAGGTTAGCTGGGAAAGCGGGGAAAGCAGAGAGTCAGGAAAATAGGAATTTCATAGACAGTGCTTGTATCCCAGATGCTGGAAGCAGCAAGTAAAATTCAGTGGTTCATCCTTTACCTTGTGCACCCAAGAGTTCGGTATCTAGCCTACGCCAGTGATCTAGTGCCCTTCTGGTCAAAGTGGGACTGGCACGTCCAGAGCGAGTCACCCTGTTCTAACATTAGCATCTAAGACCTGTGGCCTGAATCACCTCCTTTACGCTTAAGCCTTGTTTCACTATCCAAACAACTCAAAGTCCAGAGAATAATTTGCCCATCATGATGCTCAGTTAATTAAAAATGGAGAATCTTCTGCCCTGTGGTTATCATAGAGTTAGGTTATTTTTTCAAGTAGTTAACTACAGATAAATTATGATTCCAAACATTAAGTTATGACTTAGAAGGCATAATCCTATCAACAAAACCATAATGATTACCTTAAAATGCAATATTAAACTGGATAAAGTTCAAAGTAACAGTAAAATGATTTATTAATTTTCCAGTGAGCTCAGAAACCACAGAAACATTCTGAACTGCATCAAGCAGAAGTTCTCTTCCACAAGTAGACATTCATCTGAGAAGTGTTCTCCTCTGTTAGGCTGAAGCATCCAATCACCCTTTTCCAAATACAATGTACCTCCTCAAATACTGCTCTTAAAGGCTCACATGTACACATAAAGAAGCTAAACAATATAGCTCTGGGATCCTCTCCCACACAAATTGGTTCTGTGTGCAACTTATCTGTCTGATCAGTTAAAGGTATGTGTAGACTAAATGCTGGCATGTACAATTACTTGACAAGCATGAAAATGCTCCAACAAATGTCTGCCTACTCCCAATGGGCAATACTGACAGCACCAAATAAAAGAAACGGTCAAGCAAATGGAACGTAACTGGCCAACACAAAAGAAATCATATAAAAAGTACTGCTGGAAAACAAAGATGACAAAAGTTGTTCCCCTCACTATACCTCTACAAATCAAAGCACTTCTGATTTGCTATATAAAATAACAAAACCCGTTCTTACAAAGAGTATCATGATTCCTTGGCATGAAAGTCTAGATAACTTTCCAACAAACTATTGGTTTGTCACCGCAGCAAATACAGTATCTCTTAAACCACCATCCAACTCTTACATCACCTGCTGAGAGCAGTGTAACTCCAAAGAGTTTAGGAATAGTCAACCAAAAACTACATGGATTAAGAACAGTCGTTCAGCCAACAAGGACTTCACAATCAAAATCATCTCAAACATCAAATCCTGTTTCACCATGCTAGATGGTAAACCATCTGCATTTAGGACCTGATCAAACATGCTCTAAGTTATGACCACGTTAAGCAATTACTTTGGATTATTGGCATTATACTTCCAGCCTTTTTTCTTCATTTACAGCAGGAAATTTATAATGTAAATGCACACAAATATAATATGATTAAATACCTTCTTTATCATCAGCACTGTATTGATTTACCTCATCCTTTTGTTTGCTTTTTACTCTCCTTAGATTACGATTATAGCGATGACATAAAAACTACACATCTGACAAAGTAGAATTGAGAGGGATTTGAAGGCTGCATCTTCTAATTATTGGATATCTGTCCTTCACTTGATCCTAAGAACAAAATCACAACAGAGAGTTCCTGCTCTAACACAAGAGAGCAGATCTTACCCACCTCTTTGCAGACGCAGGTGATTTGGCCACAATTACAGCATTCCTGTAGTCTGGTATCTGTAGTAAATAACAGATAGCAATGTCTACTTCATATCTTTAGACAAATTTAAACTCAGTAAGAATCAGCGAACTTTATTTTGCCAGAAGAATTTTAAGCATTGAACATTTTACCTAACATAAGAAAGCAACCTCAAGAATCCATGGTACATGATCAGAGTTCACAGCTCAGTAAAAACAGGTATTTAGAAAATTCAGGTATTAACTTAAAACTGTACCTTTCATAAACACCATGTTATATTACAGTTTATACAAAAGTAACTGCTTTAGAAGAACATCAGGGCTGCACAGACAAGTGTTAAAAGAAACAGGAAACCATCAAAATTAAAGTTTCCTGTTCAACTTAAATTGTCTTGAGCATGCACATGGCAGTCTGTAATCACGTGAAAACGGAGCGTTTCACCTATCTCCTATTGTTTTGCAGAGTACACCAAAAAAAGTAGCGCCTCTCCATCACTCCATCACATCCTACTGACTCTTTATATGGACCAAGGGATCAAAATTCCACATTCACTGCACTGATCCTGGAGTCACAGTCTAATGTTGCTGCAAGCCGCCTTCTACGCAGATCAGCACTAGAGGATGCTGCTGCAAATGCCAACAGCCGCAGCGGCGAGGCCAAGAAGTCTGGGTTTCAATACGAGGTCTGATGCGTACTTCACTCAGTCTTCACAAGCTACTCCAAAGTTTGCTGCCCCTGCCCTGCCCATTCTCACCCTGGCTTTTCATCCCAGACTCCCTCTCTCCATTCAGCCAGCATTTTAGTCCCTATCTCTCAAAGGTTTCTTATCCTAGCTTCCATTTTCCCTGCAAACAGTGACTCTACATCAGACTCGTCTTTCCTTGTCCATAACTTCTCGAGCATTCCACCACTCGCGCTTCCAGTCGTCCTTTCCAGCAGCTATCTATGCTCCCTCTAATACCTCATCTTACCTCCTTCCTGGCAAACTCAGCATTTTCCTTCACTGTGCTGCCCTGGGACAATCTGTCTGCCACAGAGCAGCAGAGAACCTGTCTGTCCTTCTATCAGCTGCCGTAACGACAGTCCACAGACACTCTCAGCTGCAATAGCAAGGAAAGTTCTACAGAGCAGATCCAACCCTCAGAATCCCAGTGTTAAGGGACGGAAGACTCTTTACTAAATACCTGCAAACTGATCTGTTACAGTTCTAATTTCGCAAATCTGGGGGGGATGATACTCTGACATGCAGTTCATCGACTTGCTGTCAGATGTCAAATACCAGTTCCAGAGCATAGAAATACTTTGGTTTTTTCAAACACAAGCAAGGCAAGTTGTTCCACAATCTCATCCTCAAACATACAAACCACACTAAGTATTTCCAAAAGCTCTCTACCTGAAATAGGCATGGGAACGAAAAAAATTAAGTTCTGAATTTGAGCATGGGCCTAACCAACTGAAAACAAGAGCTCTTCTGAGGATGTGTCAGGCAACATTAATAAGCCACAATGCTACTAACCCCACCTATAATACTGGGAATTCAGCATGGTCTGTCCTTTACAAACACTGAGTTATACAACAGGCTACAAAGATTAACATGACGGAAGGTATGGACAAGGCAGGGCCTGTCACTTGACATAATAAAGGCTTTGATCTTGTTCAGACATCATTGCCTCATTTTTCCCCTGCCAGATTATCAAATTTGTTCCCAGCTCTTTAAAAATGAAGTCAGAAAGCCAGAAATGTCATCCAAAAGACAGTAAGACATCAATAACTCCTTGTAACAAAGAGCTACGTCACTCCAAGATCAACACGTACACATAGGAAAGAGAGAAGACACTAAGTATCGAACATTTGCTAAGCATACAAAGGACAATCACCAAATTATTTTTGTACTACATTAATTTCACTATTGGGACTGTCTTCATCCCAGAACACCAAGTAATCCTTTTCACACCTATACATAAGTTTCCGACAGGGAACAACTACAAGCCCTAATCCTCTTAACTTGCAGTTCAATATTTTTTAAGGGACCTCCACTCTTATCAAGCTGGACTCTATTTCATGCTATTCAATACACCCCATCACAACTCCCATTTGAAATATTTTTCATGCTTTGGCATTCACAGCCCAGGATATACAGCAGCTGCTGCTGCCGTGAACTTGAGATGAATACTAAATTCTTCCTGAGCAGCACTGGATGAAACTTTTAAGAAAAGATACTATACGTGACCTGGCTGGTGAAGGTAGCTGCCAATATAGATCCCATGCAATCAGACACATTCAGTCAACCCTAGTTTTAGCAAGTCATCTCACAGACAAGCAGAGGAATGAAGAAATGAAAAACTGAAAGTACCTTTTAAGACCTTTCTACACATACTTCAGCACATCTCTACAAATGTTCATTTGTTAGACCGCACAGCAGAGCCACTCAAAGCTGCAACAATTCTTTGTAAACTATTATGAGCTCATGTATGAAAATGTGCTTCAAGACTGAACCAGGAACATGATCTTGTTATCGACCATAATCCATACATTCAAGCAACACAAAGGCACAACTTCTCTTGTGTCTGCATATTTGGTTTCCCGCTTTTTTTCTTTTTTTAATATATGAAGTGCTTACAATGTGCAATACTTCTCTCTTGGTATACAAGATGAATGACTGTGGCAAAGCCAGAGCCTGGAGTTTTGTTCTATCTATCTATCTATTTTGTACTTTGACTCTAGTACCAGATGAAATTGTAATGACATATTTACATGGTAACTGATTCCCCAAACAGATTTTAACACTGTGATAACAAAATCATGTTGGTTTGTTTTTGCATTTGTTTTGGGTTTTGTTTTGGTTTAAATTGAGGCATTCATATCTCTATAAAAAGAAATATCTTGCATTCAAAAGTAAGAGCGAGCTAAACCTTTTCTCCCAGCAAGAAGAAAGCGTTTGCTTTATTCCAAATTATCATTAGTCAGAAGCATAATATGCATCTTATACCTACAATTATCATTTGCAGAATTTGTATATACGAATCTACCAGCAGCACTTCTCAAAGCACTTATAAGATGTAGAAATGGACGCGCAGAACATCAGAAGTTAAGCTCCTCAAGTCAAGACATGCTGAACAAACAGCAGGTGAAAATTTCCACACAAGAAGTCATCTGTTCTTATTTTCAGAGTATGATCAATAGGCTCTCTCATTGTTTACAACCTAACTTGTAAAGTGTTTTCATAATGCGATATAAATTACACCTACACAAGCAGCCCATCCTATATATGTCAAGGAAACTGGAAATAGGAAAGGAAGAAGATATCAATAGCAAGAAAATCCTCATTTTTTTTTAATACCAGTTGGGGAATATACCTAATAAGACAGAACAGTATCACTGCATGGATAAGAAAAAGCGAGCTCTTCATGAAAGCAAAACTTAAGCCTGTGGGGAAGAACCAACTGCCCCAACACCACCCCCAGCCCCAACATGACCTTTCCCCCTTTAAAATTCTGTTTTAAGAGTTAAGTCTTTCCAGAGGAATTTGTTTCAGAAGCCTTGAGACATGACAAAAAATAATTTAGAAAAGCAACTGTAATAGCAGGCCTTCCTCACCTCTTCCTGGATGTACTGTAGTAAAAATGGAGATGCTCTCAAGTTATCAACTGGAATATTGAAGAAGCCCTGTATTTCCTTCTGATGTAAATCCATGGTAATAAGATGAGTTAGTCCTTTAAAAAAAAATAATAAAAAGACATATGAAAAGACACATCAAGAAGAGTAAGAGAGAACAACAGGCACACTCTTTAGTTCTCTAGTAAGTTTGACTGAGGTTTGTCCAGAACAAAATCTCTAAGCTGCATTAGAACAAGAATAGTATACTTAGTGAAAGTACGTAGCATATTAACTATGTCCCTCAAATATTAAGATTCAAAAGTAACTGGCATTATCATGTTTTGAGATTTCTACAGTGTCCTTTTCAAAAGAACCTCAGAACACTCTACATAATTGACTCAGTAGTGCCACACTGAGGCAGGTAAGATCTTTCTCCATTTGACATGTGACAAAATGGAAGAAGCACTAATAAATTGTCCTATGCCACGTAGCAAGACTCCAGCACAGCTAACATCAGAGTTCTGAATTCCTGAAAAATGGACACAAACCCTAATCATCGAAACACTTCTCTCAAAATAAGAAACCAGATCACACTGGTTCACTGTAACTGCCCATTTTTCTCAGGGACAGGAGCAAAAGGAAAGGAGCAGAAAAGAAAATGTGTTGAAGGATGTGAAAATGCATAATCTCATCCTCCCACATCATTTCAAATGTAAAGACCAGATACAAAGCGCATTCATCTCAACAGGTAAAAAACAGGCTAGGAATTACAAAGCACAACTGTTTGAGAGCATCAGAATGGCAAAGAACAGCATTATGATAGATACACACCATGGCCCAAAGCAGCAAGAGTCCAGCAGACTCCTTTTGCCGGCTCAGTAGGACACAATGTAAAATGGCCATTACAAGTTGGGTTTTTTAATGGACTCATCATTTGGAGACATTTCTAATTACATTCTCTTTTCTATGTGGGTTTTAAATTCATGAAAAACTTGTCAGTTATTCCTAAACAGAGTCCCAGCTTGCGCACAGACTGCTCTAAACCTGAAAGCTGACAGCAGGAGTCCCCACTGCCCCGATTATTTCATGATAACCTACATTCTTACCAGCTTTGCACATCATTGAAGCCAGTAATTTAGAGACAATGGAGCCCCTTTTCCTCATCTTGCACTGTTTGCTGTATGGGAAGTAAGGAATCACTCCAATAATGCTTTTGGCACAGGAGGTTTTACAGGCATACACCATGATCAGGAGTTCCATGATCGTAGTATTCACATCCCTGGAACAAGAAGCATCTAGTTCTGTATCTCGTGCATAAAAATCCTGTATTCAACACGATATCTATACCCACTTCAGTGATTTCACTCCAGGGCAGTAGAGAGTGTGGCGACTGAGCAATCTTCACTAAGAATCCAGCTCTGCACCTCAGGACAGCAAGTGCCCTGGACCCAGCACTTTCATTCTTCACTAGAATTACACTTCATTCTTTTTTTCACTTGGCTATTCTGGGCAATTCAGCAGTTTTTGTTATAGCATTTTCAGGCTTTTAGTGATACAGCATGTTGCTGTAACAAAGCAGTACATAATTTATCTCCAATACCTCTTTCAATTGTGCACAAAATAAAATAGGTATGTTTTTCAATATAGATAAGCTTTTTCTTCTAAAAAAAAGTTTCAGACTGTACAACATATTCCTCTATCATTCAAGCCAACAGCAGGCTAAATATTTAACAATTACCATCTGTTTTCTGCCATAAATGAAAACATTGAGAAGATATTTTTTTTAGATGAGAACTGGTCATCAACTAAGAGACCTTCTGTTTCTGTTGTCATTAGAAAAAAACATCTGTAAAGTTGTTTTGTAAAGTTGCATTTGTAAAGTTCTTTTCACATAAAAAAAAAGTTGTTTGCTGAGCCATAGGACACATTGCCTAGGAAATGCTCCTCCTACTGTTCTCCTTTAGAACTCTGTAATGGTGCTGGAGATGGGGTAGCTGAAAAGGGAAGAATTTGAAGAGAATGACATAAGCAAAAGAGCGCACTTGGAAAAAGAATGCAGAGACCCAGGGGAAAGTTTCATTGACATATTCACTGAAAATGAAAATAACAGAGGTTAGCTTATACTGAAGTCTTCTTTGTGCACATATCAGAAAAAAACCCAAAACAATAACAACAAAAAAACCCACAAAGAGAAGCCTCTATCTAGTTAATCTAAGCTTATTATACTGTATCATATACATAAAACGCAAAGAAAAATTAAACCAGAAGCATTCTTATGGACAGTCCATGTCAAAATGCTAGCACAGTGTCTTTAAACAGTTACTCACTTTGAAACTGTTTGGATGATAAATACATCCTTTCCTCTCACAGACTCCTGAATCTGCACTCTTGTTTCTGCCAAGAAGAGAAATATGTAATATTTGCAATAGCAAAACTCAATAGAGTCTAAGAAAAGGGTAGCTAATACATGCACGTCGTAGTTAGGTAAGCTTCCAGTTTTGCCGATTAAATGCTCACCTCTGTTTGGCTCTTGGTAAACCTGAACCTTCCCCATCTCAACTCCTAAGCGCCTGCAGGAGCAGAAGAAAGAAAAAGAGAAGTCAATAAGGGAAAATTAAATATAAACCAAACACAAAGCCCATATAATGCAACAGTTATTGAAAAAAGCTGTATTTCACAGGAGAAAAACAAGGGGGAAAAAAAAAAACCCAAACCATAAAATCAGTAATTATAGTGGAAATCTCTTAACAAAGCATCTAAATTTCCAGAAGCTGCACTGCAGGCTAAGCTGAACTCATTTTCAAGTCAAGCTCAGAAGAATGAGCAACGGGGGGGGGGGGGGGGAAAAC